GCTTTTGACATCAATACTGGCAGTTTCACCATATTTATTAATAATATTAAACACCGTAGTTGTTGCTACAGTCAATTCACTGGAAATTTCACGCATTGTTTTCCCTTCATGGTAATGATGAATAATAATTTGTCGAACTTTTGGATAAGTAAATTTGGTAAATTGGCATTATATTCGCTAAATAACTGCTTGTTCCAACGTATAGTTGTTAGGGCTCGTACATAAGGGAACTTGGAAATTACCGGATAATGAAACGATTAACCAAATACATCATAATCATGGATGCAAGACACTGCTCTAACTTATTAGATGTTAGGTCTTTATATATATATATATATATATATATATATATATATATATATATATAATATATATATATATATATATGTTATATATGTTCTGTGCACTTTGGAAATGCATTTTTCTTATGTACAAAATGCAATTATCATTTTACGACCATGAATTTTATTTAGAAACTTTCCTGACACTTTCACGAATCGAATGCAAAAAGTTTCACAGCGATTCATCTTGCTGCGGAAAACTGGTAGGTTTAGTGCTTCGTTGTTGGCCGAATCCTATTATATAGCAATATTTCAAAAAATTTCTATATTATGCTTAGAATTGCAATTTGGCGGTAGTTTTTTGTTTCGTTAGTTTTCCCTGGTTTTAAAATGACGATGATAGATTTTAACCCTCTTAATTTGATGGGTTACATTCTCCGTTTAAAGAATATCTGAAAAAAAAGTTCAAGACATTTGTGTGACATTTTGTCCAATCAATTTGCAGCTGCGCTTTAGAATTTGAGCATGGATGCCATCAAAGCCAAGGGTATTTCCCGATCTCATGCACTACTTCTGTGATTTCTTTATAAATGTTTAAATATTCTCTTTCGAGTGTACAATTGGATTTTCGAGTATTGACGTCATTTTAGTTTTAGTTATGTGTATGTTGTTTTGGGGGATTCTTAAAGTAGACACTATGTGAAATGCCACTGGTTTAGTGTTACTAAATTAGTTTGACGCCTGGATGGGTTGTGACCTCCAAGGTTCTACAGCAGAAACCATGCTTTTTTGCTTGATTTTTGAACATTTAAGTTTACAATTGTCTTATTCTATTTCTCCCACCTTGCATCAGCAATGCTGTAGAGCAGTTCGTTACTGCAAAAGAATACATAGAAAGAGATAAAATGACACCTAAACTTTGAAAATGGAAGAAGCTCTAGTCTAAATTCTAAAAGTGGGGAAGAAGAAGAGGGAGACTGGAAGTAGTTGTATTGCATTGTTCAGTGTAAAGTATGCTATATTTCTATTTAAAAAAAATCATCATTATATCTAAGAATACCTAATATATGACGTTCTTCCCAATTCCCAAGTTATTTTACTTTCTATAAATTAGCTAGTATTATCGTATATCAATTTTTTTTAGTAGTTGGTTGTTTACACCTGGTATCCTATATAAAGAATATTGTATTTACTTTAGGGGTTAGTTAGGTCATCGTGGTCTTTTCAATTCTGATGGGTCTTCCCAAGTTTTTCTTATGTATTTTGGCTGCTGATTACGAATTTCGAGGGTAGATTTCGATCCGATTGGTCAAAAAATTGTTATAAACAATTAAGTTGTTTATAAGATTAACTCATAAACTAAAAGAACTAGACAAATTGTTTTCAAATTAAATTTGTTTCTTAAAAAAAAAACTAAGCAAATGTCTTTTACCAAATGTTAATCCAATAATTAGAACTTAAGATATTGCAAAATTATTGCAACACGGTTACAAAATAAATATTTTTGAAGCTTTTGCGGTCGTAACTCGACTTCTTTGCAGGCAAATGATGTATGTATTTATAGAATTTTAGAAAAAAATTGTTAAATTACATTATCTTTATTTGTATTAAAGTTATACCCGTTTGAATATGTAATTTTCCTTAAAAAAATTGTAATTTAATTTGTTTATTAGGACTTTAAGCAAATTCGAACAATAAACATTTACACTTTTACACTTAAATTAAGAGTAAGAATAGATGAGTTTAAAAGGAACATTTTCAGCTTGGTAAAATGTTCGGAAGTATATTTTTGGCCAAGATATACAGGGTGAGTCATGAGGAACTTTACATACTTCTACCATATGTAGAGTCCCTGAGGGAGCATATCATGTGGCCACTAAAAAATGTCAACTCCTCTTCTTTATTAATTAACAAGGTGATTTGTGTAATTGACCATTTATTTCATTTTACTGTAGTGTTTATACGGCTCCTTTGATTTTTTTAATTTTTGCATGATACAGTACACTACTATCAAGCATTCGACTGGTATTAGCTAAACTAAAAAATTCCAGGACTGGCTTTGAAAAAAGTAATTTAGGGATTCGTATTAAATATTACACCCTGTATATATATATTTTTAAATGCAATAAGTGATTTTCAAACTACATAAATAGCCAATGAAAACGACATATGCGACAATGTTGTCGCACTTTTATTAAATTTTTAGTGAACGATCAAATCTTACCAAAATAGAACAACCATAATGAAGTATCAAATTATAAAGGTAATTAATTTAAACAAATGTTATAAATTTCAAACATTTTAATTAAAAATGATAAACTGTCACTGCACAACAAAAAACAATAACTACTAACAATAACGAAGAACAATTTAAAAAAAAAAACTAAAAATATGTACATAGTTATGATAAACCCATAAATTAGAACTGGAAAGATACAATAATGGTAACAAAATAAAAATAATTCAAAATAGATTTTCGAAATGGAACCCTGCAGCCTGTACACATTTTTGTTGCCGAATTGTTAATTGACGTATTGAATTACGGATACTCTGGGGATCGTTTCTAATAGTATTACAACAATGTATAATTCTATCAATTAATTGTTGTCGGTTATTAATATTCACTGCGTAAACTAGTTGCTTCAATCGTCCCCAAATATGGTAATCAACGGGATTGAAATCAGGGGATCTTGAAGGCCACGAAATAGGACCTGCACGTCCTATCCATCTGTTGCCATCAACATTATTGAGATGTTGTCTCACTGCCAGTAAAAAGTGTGGGGGTGCCCCATCATGCTGAAAATACATCCCTCGGATAGCAACGTTCGCGTTGGCAAGCAAATTCGGCAAAATATTTTGTAGAAAGTTCAAATAGACCTGCCCTGTTAAAAAACCATCAAAAAAGTGAGGACCTACTAGTTGGTTATTTATGACACCAATCCACCCGTTAACCGAAAACCTTAACTGAGAACGACGTTCTCGAATAGCACGGGGCTTTTCTTCTGCCCACACATATGAATTTCGGGAATTATTTATCCCGTCTCTGGTAAATTGGGCTTCATCTGTAAATAGTGTCCCGTATAGCGTTGGTCGATTACTGTTAATCCATCTACAAAATTCCAACCTATCGATCTCATCTCCAGCATGTAGTTGCTGAACCATTTGAATGTGTAATGGGTATAGATTATTTTTTTGTAAGACTCTACTTACTTTTGATTGAGTAACATTGAGTTCTCGACTTACTTGTCTAGTGCTTATTGTAGGGTTCGTAGTAACGGCGTCCATAATGTCATCTTCCTGCGCTTCATCTACATGTCGCTCTGTTGTTCCACTAGGAAAAGTGCCATTTTCTCGCAAATAATTAAAAACTGACCCAAATGTTGATGACTGGGAGTTCGGACGATTAGGAAATCTCCTGCGATATTTTCTACTAGCAGCCCTACCATTCCATTACAGAATCCATAAACAAATATTATGTCTGCATATTCTGTGGTCGAAAACTGATGTGGCATTTTGAACGAAAGTAACAAAAGCTCTACCAAAACTAACACAATGTACTTAACGTAGATATGACAGAAGAAATATGTATTCTTGTCATCGAGCAATAAGACAAAAGAGGGAATGTAAAGGTAGTGGGGGTAAACATATTGATAGACAGGAAGTGCTATTTTGAGAGGCCACTTTAAACAGGGAAAGAGAATCTCTTTCCTTGTTTAAGAAATCAAATTTAGTTGGGTTATGTTATTGTTGATGTTATTGTTTGTCAAAACTGTCACATGAAAGCTTATTTATATTTTCTATTGAAGTTTTTTAACATTTTAGACTATTATCGTTATTAATTAATTAAAACTTTATTGTGTTCTAGTGTTAAAAAAAGTATTTTAATAAATAATTTTAATAAATAAATAGATAATTATATAATATAAAATATTATGTAATATAAAATAAATAAATAGATAAATTAGAACCCCTACACCACTGTATGATTATTGTCAAGTGTCATGAAATTTAAATTTGGCGCATTTGCATTTCCGGATATGTCCGCCATCAGAGGCCACTTTTTTGGTCTCCTTTTCATAACGATTAGATTCCCTCTTTTGTCTTATTGCTCGATGATTCTTGTACACATAAATAACAATTGATAATGACAATAATGACAATGGGTATAAAATATCAAGAAACGTCAAACGGTCAACGCCAACCTTCATTTTAAACTTTTTTAGATTTATTTTTATTTAGTACAGTTGATGCAATGTATTACTATTTGACATAAAATTTTAACCATTTACAATCAACAAAAACTAACACATACAAGAGATTTGACTTTTTAATCAATTTAATTTATTATTTATCGAAAATAATGCCCCAATACGATCTATGAGTAAAAATTTAAAATTGAAACACAATTGATTCTATCGTAGAGATAGTAATATATTCAGTAATTCTACTGAATTTTGCAGTAATGTAATTCTTCTCGCAAGTTCAAATTATTGGATTATATTTTAGTAACCGCCATTTTCATTTTTTTTTTTAACAAATTTGATTTAAAAAAAAATCTAGCTTTTTTAGTTTTCAAACTAGAGCCTTATAGACAATTGAATTGTTATGAGCTTTTCTTTTGAATAAAAGGGAAAAAGGGAAGATTTTTTAATATTAATATTAAAAATAATATTAAGAATGGGACATAATGATTTAACGATGCAATTAAATAAATCCTACCTTATTATATAAAGTTAATGCCTTTTCGAATTCCCCTCTTCGGAATGCAAGTGTGGCTTGCTTTTTAAAAGTCTCCATTTTTTCTTTCCTTACCATTTTGTCTTTGTACCTTAGATTAGAATCTTTTTCAACTTCTTTCATAAATGCTTCTAAAAAGGGATTTTAGCTTAAAAAACATCAAATAAATATTTTTGAACTTATTCATAATTTTATTACAGCAGGACAACGTAACGTTTGTTGCTCAAATACGTTTTCCTGCTTATAAGTCGAATTTACATTGGCAGAAGTATCTAGTTGGTTAAATACGGAAGGAAAATGTAAGAAGAAAGAAGTTGTGTAAGTTTAGTAAGATTACATGGCGCAAGTAAACATCTTTCTCTATTAAACAACTGCACTAAATCTTAGACGACGTATTAGATCTTCATCTTCATTTGCCAATGTTATTAAATGGTGAATGAACTGGGTATGATAAAACAAGAGGATTGCCAACTAATTTTTGTTGTAAATGGACCAACCAGGCAATGGCGCACCCATGGGTGGTTTTGGGGGTTAAACCCCCCCCCCCCAGGACCCAATTCCGACATTGTTATTTACAAATTTAAAGGACTTAAAATGGTGGAGGTAGCATAAAAAACTTTTGGTGCCTAACCAAAACCCCCCAGAGGTGAATTCTAGGTGCTCTACTGATCTCGGATATAAGAAAGTTTGGAAAACACTGTCGTAATAGGCAACACATAATAGTACGTGTTGCCTGAGTTCTTTTTGAGTTCTTACTGGATTCTGATTTTCGCTCTGACCTTCAAACACAGGTTATGGTGTTGCCAAGCGTGCTTGAAAGTCTTTAAAACTGAACAATAACAGTAAAATTTTTTTAAAGCATTAAATACCTATGTATGTTCCACGCTTAGCTATCCATTTGGTATTGTAAGTGGACTAAAATGGTTACAAAATTTCTTTAGTAGAAAGTGGAAACACTTCTCACAAATGCATAGAAATAGAAGTACAGTAGAAAGAACATTATTGCAGTATACAAGATACCTCCTGTGTACTTGGGGACAAGGACTTGTGGATATAGTGAGAAATTGGAAAAAAAACTTATTTGCAGAATTAGGGTGAGATATATATTTTACATGGCGTGATGTTCGCAGTAGAGGACACAATACGGATTAAACCAAAGGAACAAGAAATGCGATCATCTTTCTAAGGAAAAAATGCGGGTCTGGATGCGTAAACCTGTGCATGGGCGATATCCCAATAAAATCAGGTAAGATTATGTCCACAGTACAGCGTTTAACTATTTGTCGACACCAGGAAAGATATTTTCCGAAACAGGTGGATCCCTACCTGCCATTCAGGATCAGGTAATTTAAATAAAAAATTACCTGAAACATCCCGTAAAACGTATTTCAGGCATTTGCTGCAACTGAGTGTAAGTAGTGGATGTCCTCAATACAAAACAAATAAACTAAAATGACCTTCGAATGATAACGAATCTATATTATAAGTAGTAAACACATACGCATGAATGAACATATTTCAAATAAATTCGAAATTAAAAGAGGGGTACGATAGATATGTGTATTGTTGACACTATTGATAAACGCATACTCTGAAGAAATTATGAAAACAGCTCTCGAGGGCGAAACAGCTGGAATAGAAGTCGGTGGAATACGAATTAAAAACATTACCCTTCCATACAGAGGCTAATGAACAAGATAGTTGAGTCTGAAGAAGAATATGGACTATCAATAAACATTAAAAAAACTACTTTTATGAGAATATCTTAAACCCAAAAGAATGATCAAAACCTAATAATTAAAGAAATGAAAGTTTTAATAGAAAAAGTACGAACGCGGAGATGGCACGTACAGAACAATGCTACTATGTGTAAATTATAATATATAAATATATATATATATATATATATATATATATATATATATATATATATATGTTTATTTATATATATATATATGTTTTTTTAGAATCGTAAACGAATTTTTAGAACTTTTATTATTTTTAACTAAATTTTAAAATGTATTGTATCCATTATTGTATAAGTTATAGTTTATATGTTTGTTATTAATGTTGAGTGTCATAGCTTCTTAAAAATAATCTCAACGACTAGTAAGTACACTGACATTTTGTGATATATTGTAAATATTTACACATTTTTCTAATTACAGTGTCTTGATAAAGCAATTAAACAATTCCGAAAGCTAGACCAAAAGTCAAAAGAGTGTTTCTGTAACTTCCCGGCCAAACTTCTGACTGCAGCCCCAAAAACTTTGTTGTTTGTTTAAATTGACAGTCACGAATATCCACTATTCATTATATATATATATATAAATTATATATATATATATATATATATATATATATATGGTTGAATTGAGTGGTTGAAAATCAGGTGGCTACGGTACACCAAGATTTTGGACGAATTTATTTTAAGTACGATCTGAACCCATTTTCTCCCTTTAAAAGCTTTAGTAGAAGCTGACCACTGATACAAACATTAGTGAGTTTGATGAATTAGATGAGTTAGATGAAGAAGATAAAGTTTAGTGTCTACTTTCTTGTTTTACTCAACAATTTTTATTTTTCTTTGAATGTAATGTTTTAAAAATTGTGACTCATGTCAACTAGCAAGGACAATTTTAAAAAACAACCCATAAATACGGATTTAATAGTTATCTTAATAAAAGCTGCTATACGTCTGAATTGTTGTTAATATCAAGAGTCTTTTAAATTATTACACGTATTTTTTACATAGAAATCGAAAATAAATTCAAAACTACACAAACACTTGTAATAAACCCTTTAATATAACTAATTCTTACTTGAAAATTACTGTTAATTTTAATATTGATCCATGAAAAATAGCAAAAAAGAGTTATAAGAAATGATTTCATTATATAGCTATGTGGTCATTTGAGTCCTGTCGTAGATGACAAATCATGATATCTTTTACATCACTTACGAAAAAAAATGATTAGTAAATTTAAATAACATTGTTATTGATTTTTATTTTGTATTCAGTTAGTTAAAGAACAGATGCATAGTTAAATATAAAATTTGCTATTAATAACTTAATAACTGATTTTTAGAACCCTGCTATAAAATTGCTCTCCTGAAAAGTTGATGAAACATGACTTATCAGCTTATGTCATCTGCTCACAGATATATACTATTATACATTACTCATATGTAATAAATATAGAGACTGAACCAAAATACGTCAATCGTGGCACAATCCAGTTTGTATTTGATAAGAAAATGCAAAAACTAAAAATAAGAAATATGTTTAAAATTATTTTAGGCAATAAGTAAATAGGTCAGAATAACACAACGAACACATTCTATGAAATAAACTAATAAATCATACAGCCAAATATCAGCCGATACAATTAAACCTAAAACCAGTAAGCCAAGCATTAAGCAAACACTGGAATTAAATATTAATGAACTGAACAAGATGAATGAAGAACAACAAATTATTGGAATATGGTGCCAAAGCAGATATCTCCAAACAAAGAAATTGTGAATGTATGTACCTACAATATATGAAATGGAATGCGGATGGGCTGTTTCCACGACAAAAAGAAAGGAACTGCAAGCAGCAGTTGAAGAAATCAAAGTGACGTTATCAATAGGCAAACATTGGTCGACCAACAGATCCAAACAAGATTTCAGACCTCATTAACTTATCTTCAAATAGAGAAAGGATGGGATATAAACTCATGAAATTTTCTCCAAATGAATAAAGGATGGGATATGAACTCAGATCACTCACCCATTGTATTAGCACTGAGTAAAAACATTATTAGAAAAGAAAGTATAGTATATTCTACCAATTTGTGACTCTTTACATTAGACACTCGACAGACAATGGTTTACTCTACTGTACATCATAAGTAGTACGAAAGTACGAAAGAAAAATATAGAACAAGTAACTTCTAAATCGAATAAAACTTAATTTATAATCTTTTTTTACAATATTATTAAGTGGTTATTTACAGCAAATCCTTTTGATATAATTCATATGAACTGCAAATTTGACGAGGAAATATTTGTTTGCATAGCACTTTTACTTTTTTTTAAATATTTGTTATAACCAGATTATTTTTTTTGTTTGGCCTCAGGTTCAAGATCTATTTAGCCACCCAATTGATTAAATAAGTAAAAACAGTTAACTTTTATACTTTCTTTAAATTTATATTTGACAATTTCGTATTTCGTTCATTCTCTCAATTTCCTAACCTTCCCATTGTAAACACTATTGATGAAGGTACACAAAGGATTGAACATGGACACATGCTTCATGCTAAGTTTGCTCTTCATAGCGACTTTTTTTTTAAAAACAAACAGTACAGACAACGGTTATAGGCAAATAACATAAAAGGAAAGAGAGTAGGAAATACTACAACTAAAGTCCTACTATTTCGCATTCACACAACCACTGTCTGGAAAAGGCAGTTTAAATTTTCCATTTCGTATGTTTAAAGAATTCCCATAAACTCGATCTAATAATTTTGTTTCGACTACTTAAATAGAGGAGAGAAAAAATGTTCTGCGTCAGCATGATTTTTTGTTGGAACATGGCTTGAAATAAAAATTTATGGCTTCATAATTATACCGACACTGAAACATAAAAGCGGTTAAGGTCATCAAAACTGCTGTTACATTCAGATGAATCTGTTTCTGCAAATTTTATTTTATATAGGTATGCGTTAACTTGACAAAATATTCGTAAATGGAGTCAGATATCAAATGCAAGACAATTATTCCATGTGGCAGAAGATCCAGAACCCTTCCCAATGATGATCGGATAACTCTGATATGGTACGCGATGAAGAAGATGAAGAAGAAAGCATTTACTGTAGTATGTCCAAAAAGTCATCTAACGTACATAGTATAAATTTTCCGAGAAATGAGCCATCGCTCGTTTGGGGGAGTAGATGGAAGAGTTGATATATGTTGCAATAAACCAGATTAGTTATTTCCTAAGTGCAGATCGATTGATTTGTTTAGAGCAGCAAGTTCTAATAAAAATAGCCATTATCATTTTTAACCTCCGTAGGGAGAAGGCACTCTAAGAAGAAGTTATTTCCTAGAAGTTAATGTGGTTCTAATCAGTGAGCTCTGAAAG